CGCGCAGCGTGGCCCGCCCGCGCCCGCGTGGCTCACCGATGCCGAGGTGCGTGTTGACGGAGGCGTAGCGCGCCGTGCCCGTGAGGTTCTTGTTCTCCCGGTAGGGGATGTGCTGGTGGGTGCGGGCGTCCCGGTACTTCTTGGCCAGCCCGAAGTCGATGATGTAGACCAGGTTGCCCTTCTTGCCCAGGCCCATGAGGAAGTTGTCCGGCTTCACGTCCCGGTGGATGAAGTTCTTCGAGTGGATGTACTCGATGCGGCTGATCTGGGTGGACAGGGGCCGGTGAGGCCGGCGGGCCGGCAGGCCAGCGGCCCGAGGGGACGCGCGGAGGCCGGTGCGCTCACCATCTGGTCGGCCAGCAGCAGGACGGTCTTGAGGCTGAACTTGCGGGAGCAGAAGTTGAAGAGGTCCTCCAGGCTGGGGCCCAGCAGCTCCATCACCATCACGTTGTAGTCTCCCTCCGCCCCGCACCACCGGATGGTGGGGATGCCCACTGTGGGGGACACGGGTCAGGCCCTCGTGCCTGGGACCACGCCCCCACAGACCCTGCCTGGCAAGGGGCGGGCGCTGGAGCGACGGGGGCACCGAGAACGACATCACAGACGCGCCGGCCAGCCCCATCGTCACCCCGCCGAGGGCCCGTGGCTGCTCTCCTGTGACCGCGCCCCCTGCTCCGTGCGGCACCCGGCACCCGCCCCCCCGTGGCGCCCCCGGCCCAGTGGGGTGTCCTGCGGCCAGCGCAGCCCTTCCACCCACACACGCTCCATGTCTCACACGAGAACCAGCGCAACACACACCTGGGCTGTGCATGGGGGCTGGGACACCCCACCCGCCCTGCTGGGGACGCCGGGTGGGCCAGCTGGGGGCGCCAGAGGCGCCCGCTCCCATGCAGGACGCCCCTCAACTTGGCGCAGGTCGGCCTTTCTTCCAAACTCCTGAGGTCCCGAGGAGCTAAGGCAGCTAGTCGCCCGGCAGGTCTGTGCTGGCCAGGGACAGTGGCCCAGACAAGCCCCGCCGGGTCCACGGTGCCCGTGACCGCACGCCAAGGCCGGGAGACACAGGTCAAAGACCCGAACAGACGCGCCTGGGTGACGCACACTGGTGGCCCAGGGCACCCGCTGCCCAGGGGCCAGCGGGCAGCAGCACGCCGAGGCTCAGCGTCCTGTGCGGCCCGAGGACGAGTCCCCAGGGCCTCGGCGGTCTGGAGAGAAACGAGCCGCCTCCAGGCCCGGGGCTGAGGCGGCCGCCCGTAGCGAACAGGAACAGGAGACACCGTCAGCTCTAGACGGGCAGGAGGGAAGGGCGGCGAGGTGCCCGCCCGCCAGCCCGCGGGCAGCCGGTGAGCACCCCTCAAGCGCGCGGCAACCTGGCCTCCGGCGGCCCAGGCAGCGCCCGAGGAGCGGGAGCCCCGCGAGGAGCCGCACAGGTGGGGGACAGGCAAGCGCCCCACAGTGGCGGCACGGACGGCGTCTCAGCGCTCTCGCGGCCCCGTCTGGGGCAGGCGCCTCGGCCTGCACCTCCCCGCCGCCACAGCTCCCCGACTGCACGAGGCCACCACAGGTTCTTCCAAGGCACCCCAACTCCCTGGGGCCAG